GCCAAGGCCAGGCAGGAGAGTCTGGAAATTCTGCCATTTAGCACACAATTTCTTCCAAGAGTTTTATAGTTTTAGCTCTTACATTTAGATCTTTGATCCATTTCGAGTTGGCGTAAGATAAAGGTCCTAATTCATTCTTTTCATGTAGATATCCAGTGCCCCAGCACCATTTGTGGCTGTCTTTTAAATTAGGAAAGAAGAGGAGGTTAAAACAAAAAACACATTAATACCATTTTTAAATTTTTTGTTGTTGAAAACTGGGCAGCTTAAATATTATAATACAGGAACTCTGGAAATCATATTCCTTCTCCTTCCAAGGGTTTTTTGTTGCCACTTGTAGTTATTTGTTTAGTGATTTTTCTGAACTAATTTTGTGACGTCTGTACTCTTGGTTGTGTGTGGCCCCTGAAGTCTCTGTTCTGTTACCTTAGTAGTCACCTAACGATTGGACAGAGATTTCCTTCAATTCCTGGTAAAAAAAAAAAATTCCCTAGTCTTTGAAGATGGGCTCTGTGTATGAGTTAGGGCACACCTTCAACAATGAGCCAGGCAGTTCACTATGCTGCCCCAGCCCTCACTTCCTGCTTGCAGAGAGCCTGAAGGGAAATGAGCCAGCCAGAGGTGAGAGTTTAGAGCCTCTCACATCTTGCCTGGGCATGCATACCACTCTGGGCATGTGTATGGCCTTCTAGAATTCCAGAATATTTCAAAGGTTTCCAAAACCCTTGTTCTCCAAAACTTGCCATTCTGCAGCCTTTCCTTTCAACCATTTCGGTTAGTTTATTGTTTTCCCTGACTGTTATCACTTGCTGCCTGCTGCTTTAACACTGGGCAAGTTCCAAGTGAGATGAGATAAAGCCAAGCCTTTTGAGTTCGTCTTTCAGGGAGCCACTAAACAGGTTAAAACAAATAATTACAATATATATATATATATTTTTTGTGAGTGAGGTCTGTTCTGGTCCCTACAGTATAGATTCTCTACCAGGAATGTGGGTTGTTTATTTCCAAGGTTATTGCAGAACTGGGAGATAGGGAATAGGACCAGAGTAAGTTTAAATGCTACAAAACTCTTTGTTCTTACCAGGATTCAGCCGTTTTTCTTGCTTAAGCATTCCCATGATTATAAACTTTTGATTCATTTCCAAAATTCTGAAAAAGTTGATCCTGCAGTAGTTGTCTTTTTTTTTACCAGTTTTTTCTTTGCTTTTAGGGAGGGGCAGATTTTACCTATCATTTATGCTGATGTCACCACTGTACCAATCTTGTGAACCCTTAAATTTCCTATGTTTCAAGTTCAATAAAACCTGGATCCACCTTTAGTTGGGGTATTAAGAACATGTGACCTTATTATTGTGGTTACATTTTGATTGTACCTGGGTGTATGGGCGAGTGAAGCTTCCAGGTGGAGATGCCAAAGTATTTCTTACAGTTGGGGAGAGGTGACTTCCTCTGTGTCTGCATGGATCCCAGCACATCCTGCCACCTTGAGGCCAGGAAGCTTTGGAAACACCTGAAGCAGTGCTGTTGGCATAAACATTGACATTTCACAGGGCTGAGGTGCCTTCCCTGGCCTGTATGGGTAGAGATCCAGGGTTGGCAAGCTATAGTCTTTGGGACAAATCAGACCTGCCTGTTTTTTTAATGATGGGCTGTGAGCTAAGAATGTTTTCTCACATTGTAAAAAGGTTGAACAAAAATCAAAAGATGAATAATATTTTGTGAGGTAAAAGTTATATGAGATTAAAGTTTTACTTGTTTATTTATACACAGCCACATTCATTCATTGACATGTGTGCAGGTGCTCATTCTCACTACAATGGCAGAGGTGAGAAATGGCAATAAGGACTGTACAGACTGCTAGGCCCAAAATATTTACTATCCAGGCCTTTACAGAAAAAGTTGCTGAGCTTTGATATCAGGCACTGATGGGAGCATTGGGGCAGGAGGGAGGACAGAGTGGACACCATGTAGAGACTGAGGCTGGCAGGCTGATTTTAAGCACAGGTGAGATGCTCCTTGAGGAGACTTTGCAGGGGACTGAGATCAGGAGAGATCAACCCAGCACAAGCAGGAAATGTAAGTTTTTGATGTTAATTTCATTCATCTCCATAGGAGGGTGTGGTCTAAGCATTTTTGGCCTATTCTCACGAACACTTTTTTGGGGGAATCATCAGCCCCATTTTAGTCCTGGGAATTGAGCCATTGAAAGGACAGTGATGTAAAATCCAGTTCTCTGGCTCTTGAATGCCTAATTTCTTCCCATGGCATCCATTCTGCTGAACGTCAGATTTGGTCAGATCAGCTGCCCCTGACACCAGTGGTGGCAGTACATGGGTGCCCCTGGGCTTGGCTTCACCTCAAAGGTAGGCCTGACCCTGGAGCTGAAGGCTACAGTGTATTAGATTCTGGAAAGGCATTGCTAATGGAACTAACCAACTAAGCCCATCGGACCTCAGAGTCTCCAGTTCCCCACTTCTAGGAAGAACCCAGAGGTGGGCCCTTCACTCTTCCACTCATCTCCCTCTTCCTTCCATTCCTGGCTGGTCCCAGCTTCTTAGCCTGGCATTTAGGGTACTTCTCTTTCTCCTTAGATCACACACTGCTTGCCAAGTAAGTCGTTATAAACAATCTTTATGTTCTTATCCTGTTCTTCAGGTCACAATTACCTCCATATCTGTGTAGTAAAGAATTTAACATCGCCCAAGGAGAGGCCTGGCCCTAGCCCTCAGCTTCTGGGAGGTAATCTCTGAGCCCTTAGAATGTCATGCTTGATCGCACTGTCTTTCTTTCTTTGTATTTGCCTGTGTGCCTTGGGCCAGCCAGATATTATCAATGTGATTTTGGATAGGGGCTTCAGGTTATGAAATATTATCTCTACCTCCTGAGGGGCTGGAAATTGAGGTCAGCCACATGAGCAGTCAACCATGCCTGTGTAATGGAGCCCCAATAAAGAACAAACAACAAGGCTCAGGTGAGCTTCCCCAGTCGGCAATATGATGTGCAGATGGTCACACATCGATGCCAGGAGAATAATCCTGTTCTGAACTCCACACTAGAAACTCTGTGTTTAGAACCCCCTTGGATTTGCCCTATGTCCTTCTTTCCTTGGCTGACTTTAATCTGGGCCCTTAAGTGTAATAAAACATAAGCTTTTGGTGAGTTCTGTGAGTCCTTCTAGCAAATTACTGAAACTAAGAGTGGTCTTGGGAACCCACACACTTTCCACTGGTGTTAGAGGTGAGGGTGGCTTGTGGACTGCTCTCAGATGATGCACTTGGCTAACTTTTCACAATATCCAACAGCATCAGCTGCTGGAGAAGGTTAGGGTTGACATTTGAGTGCCTTAGTTATCTACTATCAGGAATGCAGTTGGTTTTCTTCCCTGAGCTTCCAGAACTCTCCCTTTCTTATCTTCTTTCCCTTCTATCTATTTTGTATTTTATCAACTTCTCTTCTCTCTTCTTTCTCTTCCTATTGGGTAGGAAACTTGGAGGACCTCCTTCTGAATCTTGGAGGGCCCCTTCTCCAAGGATTTTTCTGAAGAAGATGGCTCTACACTTTCTGAGGGCCTCTGCTGAGTAGGCTTCTGTGCAACAAGGAGAGAAGGCAGGATGGACACCGCGAAAACTACAAAGCCCCTCATATCTGTCAAGCACTTTATAGATTATACATGTACGTGAGTGCTGAGTAGCCCGCATGGCTGGCTTGATCTAGGTCAGCCTGTTTGGGAGACTGCAAGCACCTTTCTACCCACTTTGGGTTCAGTATCTTTACCCCAAATGCCAGTGAGTTCCACTGACCTTTCTGTAACAATACTACTAAAAGTGTTATAAGCTAAGATTTTAAAACCGTAAGGGAGGATAAATAAAAATGTTATATACTATATCCTGAAATGAACATTATCCAGAGATCAATGAAATTAAGTGTTAAATTAAATATATAATATTATGTGTACATACACACACACATACACATATATACTATGCAGATACATATATCTGGAACTAGGGAATTAATGAAACTCTTAGCCAGATGGTAATGGCTAACATTAAAGGAAAGTTTACTACACGTTTTATACTAGTCTAGCTACTTTGAATGGGCTAGATTATTTAATCCTTAGAGCAACCCTATGTGTTGGGTATTGTGGTTAATTGACAGATGAGTAGGGTGAGGTTCAGAGACCTTGTCCAAGGTCACACAACTATGAGGGACCAGAGCTTGGATCTGAATGCAGGCCATCCCATTCTAGACCCTGTACTGCCCTCTTAGCCATCTGCTTCCCTCCCACTAAGGGGGCAAGCTCTGTGCTGTGCTATCTGGATTCTCTTCTTAGGTCAGCTTGGCTTTTCTTTAGGGCACACACAACTTTAATTGGAGACCTGATGAAACAGGGATTTTATTCCTTGGCTGACAAAACAGTTGTGGAGATTTCTTAGGCTCCTGATGTGCACTGGCTCAGGCTGAGGCTGGCAGGCTGGTTTTAAGCACAGGTGAGATGCTTCCCTGAGCATTTCCTGAAATACTTGAGGAGTCTTTGCAGGGGACTGAGATCAGGAGAGATCAACTAGGGCAAGAGCAGGAAATGTAAGTTTTTGATGTTAATTTCATTCATCTCCATAGGAGGATGTGGCCTAAGCATTTTTGGCCTATTCTCATGGACAGTCATCCTGTTGGCATAGTGCGTTCCTCCAGCTGTTATTCCACACACACTGCTCTAGAGTTGGGCAGCAGGGATTTCTACTAAAACCCCTCTTTCCTTGATCTTTCCTGTGCTACACTGGCAAACAGCTCCTGCAAACTCCTTGTACCCATGTCTGAGTTGAATGGGGCTGGTGGATCAGTGAAGGCTAGATCCCTTCTAAACACCATGTGCTGGTTCCCTGGCCTGTGGCTTGTACTCCCTCAGGAACTGTAATCATTAACTCCTGCAGGAAGCCCCTAAGACAGATAGGTATCAGAGCATCTGCCTCTGCTCCACTAGACACAGCGCAAGCCCTGAGATGGAGAGAAGCCAGGGAAGGGAAGGTGGCAAGGGGGTGGCAGGGCAGGAGCCGAGTGGTGGGGGGCTGAGGCTGAGGAGAGAGATTGGCCTGTGGAGTGCCGTGTCCCTGATTGCTGGCTGTATGATCGGCTCCGGCATCTTCATGTCACCACAGGGGGTCTTGGTCTACATGGGCAGCCCTGGGGCCAGTCTCGTGGTCTGGGCAGTCTGCGGCCTCCTGGCCATGCTAGGTGCCCTTTGCTATGCTGAGCTGGGTGCCCTGATCCCCGAATCTGGAGGGGAGTATGCCTACATCTTGCGAATCTTTGGCTCCTTGCCAGCCTTCCTGGTCATCTACACGTTTGTGCTGGTGGGCAGACCGGCTGCCATCGCTGCTGTCTCTCTGAGCTTTGCTGAGTATGCCGTGGCCCCCTTTTTCCCCAGTTGCTCCTCACTGCCCCAGGCTGTGCTCAAGAGTGTGGCTGCCATCTGCATTCTGCTGCTGGTGCTGGTCAACTGCTGGAGCTCACGGCTGGCCACCATGCTGATGAACGTGTGCACGGTTGCCAAAGTGTTCTCAATGCTGCTCATCATGGCAGGTGGGGCCATGGTGCTGGGCCAGGGCCGTGCCAGCACAGCCTTTCAGTCCGCCTTCCACAATACGACACAGCAGGTGGGGTGCATCAGCATGGCCTTCTACCAGGGCCTATGGTCCTTTGATGGCTGGAGTAACCTCAACTATGTGATGGAGGAGCTCAAGAATCCAAAAGTGAGTCCTTGATACTTCTTTGGGGGATGAAATCTCTGAACATCAGCAGTTCCAATTACTGTTATTTTAGTTAAGATGTTGAGAAATCAGCTAAAAAATAATCTACTTTGATTAGTTTATGGGATTATATGAATAATAACTTCTCAAGTATACACAGAACTTTATAGTATCACACCTATGGTCTTATTTTGTTGCCCCGTGAAGTAGGCATTATCACTCATTTTTCATATGGGGTAACTGAGGTTTAGAAAGGGGAAGTGATTTTGAGGTCATATTGCTAGTAAAAGGCCATGCTTCATGACTCAGCTTATTCTTGATCCTGAAAGTTGGAACATTTGGACTCTGTTCAGTCGCTATGGACATTAACTCTTTGCTATAAATACAATTGCTAGGTTGCTATTTGTTTTCTTTTTCTCCTGCAGGAGTTTTAAATGTTCATAGGATGACAACTGTGAGTCTTTTCCTCTTTGTCCTTGGGGTTGGCTTAAGAGCCATTATACTCTCAGCTCTCAGCAAAGGCTCCCTGAAGTGGCTTGGAAGAAGTTGGGAAGAAAAGAGGAGTTTAGAGATTGAACTACCAGGGCAGAGAGAGTCAAGGGCAAGAGCCAGGAGTCTTGGGACCTAGTTTTTGTTCTTGCATGTCAGTCCTTGTACTGAGTTCTTTGCCTATAAAGTGGAATCATAATAGCTGCCCTGCTTAGCTCACAGGGTTTTGGGATATCAAATGGTATAATCGCTCATGGGCAATGGCTAGGGCTCTGAGTACTGTAAAGAGCTATACAGTAGTAATTACAGGTGAACTGTTAGTTCTCAGCTTGGGGCTGTGATGGGATGGGGGCTACAAGGCAGAGGCCCTGGCTCATTCAGTTCACAGGTGCTAGGACCCTCTCTCTAATTCTAGGCCCTGGGCTCAGAGCTGGTCCAGGGAGAGAGCAAGGGGCCCAAAGAGGATTGAGACAAGCTCCCATGCTCTAGTGCGTGGATCAGCAAACTTTTCTGTAAAGGATCAGAGAGTTAGTATTTTAGGCTTTGAGGGCCATTGGGACTCTGTCCAAGTGCTCGACTTTGTTGCAGCATGAAAATAGCCAGGCAAACAAATGAAAGTGACTGTGTCCTAATAAAATTTTACTTATAAAAATAAGCCACAGGCTGGATTTGGTTCAAGGCCTATAGTTTGCTGACCACTGCTAAACATAGGGCATTTTGGGCAAATGTGGTTTCAAAGCAAAAACAAAGCCTTCTTCTGAATGCTGGGCATTTGAAATTCTGGCTCTTACTCTGCCCTCTGAGGCATACGCTAGGTGTATGTTTGTTATGCACGTTTTTTCAAGAAACTGCAGGGCCTCCAAACCAGGGCAAGCCTTATGCCCATGCACCTGGGATTTGTGTGAAGATTAAGATACTCGAGAATGAAACCAAGAAATCTCACTATTCTTGTGGGCTCTATAGCTGTCACAGCTCATTAGCTGTAGGGTAGGCTGCTAAGAAGAGTGGAGTTCAAAAGCATACCAGGTCCCTTCCCTCTGACTCAGCACGGGGCTGGGTCATGCATAGTGGGGCATGCCGCAATAGTGCCTACAGATTGGGGAACCCTGGACCCTGCTCCACTGGCCCATTTTTGCTACAAGTGGCCTTGTCTGGGCCTGGGCCGAGTATGTTTTCAGGACTGGGATGATGAGGAATTAGCTACTGTGCCTACGCTGTGGTTGAGGCAATTCCATTTGCCCTCAGACTCCCAGGTTGTAGGGCTGGCGGGATCTGGGCAGACCCATCTCAGTGAGAATCCGTTCTGTCCTATATGCTCCACTTTCACAAGTTGGCCATGTGACGCTGGATCACTGACCAACTATCCTGGTTGCCCAGGTCTGAGGGGTTCCCAGGGATGCTGGACTTTTGGTGCTAAAAGTGGGAAAGTCCCAGGCAAATGGACAAATTGGTCATCTTACCCTTAGAGGACAGAACAGGACAGGAGGGACAGAGGCTTGGATACAATAAAGCAGGTGTGCTTGCTGGGGTGCAACCTCCACTTGCTGCAGGAGCTGAAAAGAGAGAGATCCCCATGGGGCAGAGCGGTCAGGCAGACTTCCTAGAAGAAGGGTCTAGAGCTGAGCCTTGAAGGGCTGGTGTGGTTTGTGGCAAAACAGCCATGTAGAAGCAGTGTGAATAGGAGCCCAGAGACCAGAAAGAACAGGACATGTTTGTGTCTCAAGGAAATATGAGGAGGGGCCCGAGGACAGGCCCTGAAGTTATTACTCCATCCTCATGTGCACCCATGCCCTTCCTCCCATGCCCACCCTCAGAGTTTCCTGACAGAAACCTCTGGAAACTGCTTTATAATGTTGGAGAATGGAAGATATGCTAATTAGAGGGCAGATGCTTAGAAGGGGAGGGGGTGGGCCACCTAGTGGTGGGCGAGGAGGCATGCCTGGGACAGCAGCACAGCCCCACAGTGGGACAGCTCTGTGCCAAGTCTGAAAGAGACTTCCCTGCACCCTGGTAAAGAATGACCTCTTCTCTGTCTTATTTCATGTTACATTGTGTCAGTTACAGCAATGCCATGACCTGGAGTACCTTTTGGTATCAAGGAAAGAGGCTCTGGGCTCATCAATGCCTGTCTGCCCCATCCAAGGAAAGACAAAAGACATCTAGAGAGAGGCTGCCAGGAGGCCAGGGGTGCTGCAGACTTGCTTCTCTTAGTTCAAAGCACGTTCTTACTTTGGCGTCTAAAGGTGTCTCTCCAAGGGAGCCCTATCCTGGAGAATGCTGAGTAAAGTTCTGGGAGTCCTCAGCAGGACCCCTTCCTTCCATTTGTTTCTGGCTCCTGAGTGATGCCCAGGGCTGGAAGTGTGGAGTGGGAGGGAGCAGTCTACACTCTGATTTCATTCAGTTTTCATTCATTCCCCACTTTTTATTGAATGCCTGCTCAATACATTTGTTGGGTGGGCATGCGTCAGCTGGGCGCCGAGGCTCCAGCAGAGCAGACTGGTCCAAGTGCCCACAGCCCATGTGTCCAGGCCCTCCCCTTCCCTTCTGCTTTGCTGACCCTCACACCTTGGAGAGAGGCAGAGCAATGGAGAGCCCTGTTTTACAGATCGCCACTGATCCTCAATTTCCAGTTGAGGAGACTGAGGGTCAGAGTAGAACCCCTGGGATAATGGCCCTCAGTCTGGGACTCAGTCCAAGAGACCCAGAAACCAGGCAGGGCTGGCATGGCGGGTCCTGGAATAGTCCAGCTGGAGTGCTCAATGGGCAGCTGACCACGGACATCTCTGCCGTTCTGGTCTCTTCTCCTTGCCTCTGCTCTCGTGGTTGCCCCTGCTGGAATGCATCCTCCTTTCACCTGTCTGAATCCTTCCATCCTTCAAGGAAAGCTCAGCGTAAGGCCCTGTTCACTTCAGAAGTTTGGGGCTAGCTCCTCTCCCCTCCCTACCCCTGTTAGCACCTCTGTGTCTCCATGGCTCTGACGACCTCCCAGCACATCTGCCTGTTTGTGTGCCCATGCCATGGGGCTCTGAGTTCATGGAGTAGGGACACAGGGTCTAAGTGGCCCCCAGGGCCTGGCATTTCGCTGTGGCCAGGATGAGTTCAGCACTGTGCCACTGAGCTTGTTCTGGGGGCCTGAGAAGGTCCTTACCGGCTAACACATGGCCTCTTCTCCCCAACTTTGCAGCAGAACCTGGAGTGGGCACTGATGATTGCCATCCCCTTGGTCACCAGCCTGTACATCCTGGTCAACATCAGTTATCTGCTGGTGTTGTCACCCAAAGAGATCCTTTCCTCCGACGCTGTGGCTGTGAGCTGGGGGTGAGTGAGTCAAGTGGTGTGTTCCTTGGTCATGGGGCAGACATTCCAGGATAGTACCCCGGGTGTATTTCAGTTTGCGTCTGGGTGCACTGCCTGCTCTGTTTCCTTGCTGTGATTTTCCAGGCTGCTGCCGCAGTTCCTTCCCTTGATCCCTCTTGTCCTAGGAACCAGGTTCTGGGGGCCTGGGCCTGGCTGGTGCCTGTGGCTGTCACACTCTCGACATTTGGCTCTGCCAATGGTACATTTTTCAGTGGAAGCCGTCTATGCTACGTAGCTGCGAGAGAGGGCCACATGGTGAGAGGCGGCGGCGGGGCTGGGAAAGGTGGTGGGGGCTGCAGGAGCGGCACTCAGCTTTATCCTTCTGGAAGCTTAGCATTTAGTCCAAACTAGGACTTGACCTATGAGATACAGCCCTCTTTCCTTCTAAGAACAGGATGCAAGCATTCTATGCATCCCCTTTAAACCTCCGTCCTTTTACTTCTAGTCTTTGGGGGGTCACTGTGCTGGGTCACACTGTGGAGGTTGTAGGTGATGGGATGTTGTGCACACCAGCGGTGCAGGGCAGTGGGGAGGAGCCACAGGAGCAGAGCCAACCTGTATCCTCAGAACCCCTCATCCAGGAGACTCTAGGGCTCTCAACTTTTGCTGCAATAATGCTGAATAATAGGTATCATCAAAATCTCAGGAGCTTACAACAAACATTTCATGTTGCCCGTGAGTCACTGGGTCAGCCATCATTCTACTTCCGGCTGAGATTTGTGACCAGATCTTCTCATTGGGATGTGAGTCTGTTCTTATCTCGAGGACCCAGGCCAAAGCAGCAGCAGCTCCTGGGCATGTTTTCACCTAGAGCAAGTGGCAGGGGTTCAAGACACCAAGCCAAGCCACACATGCATATTTAGAGCCTCTGTTGTGTCATTCCTGCGCACATTTCACTGGTCAAGCCCCACATCAGTGGATGGGAAACTGTACATTATTTCTCACATGGAAGTAGAGAGAGGGAGATTGCTGAACAATAATACAGTTGACCACGGTGACCCACTATCTCTCTCCATGCTCCATCCATACCTGTCCCACCTCTTTGCTGACCCTCACACCTTGGAGAGAGGCAGAGCAATGGAGAGCCCTGTTTTACAGATCGCCACTGATCCTCAATTTCCAGTTGAGGAGACTGAGGGTCAGAGTAGAACCCCTGGGATAATGGCCCTCAGTCTGGGACTCAGTCCAAGAGACCCAGAAACCAGGCAGGGCTGGCATGGCGGGTCCTGGAATAGTCCAGCTGGAGTGCTCAATGGGCAGCTGACCACGGACATCTCTGCCGTTCTGGTCTCTTCTCCTTGCCTCTGCTCTCGTGGTTGCCCCTGCTGGAATGCATCCTCCTTTCACCTGTCTGAATCCTTCCATCCTTCAAGGAAAGCTCAGCGTAAGGCCCTGTTCACTTCAGAAGTTTGGGGCTAGCTCCTCTCCCCTCCCTACCCCTGTTAGCACCTCTGTGTCTCCATGGCTCTGACGACCTCCCAGCACATCTGCCTGTTTGTGTGCCCATGCCATGGGGCTCTGAGTTCATGGAGTAGGGACACAGGGTCTAAGTGGCCCCCAGGGCCTGGCATTTCGCTGTGGCCAGGATGAGTTCAGCACTGTGCCACTGAGCTTGTTCTGGGGGCCTGAGAAGGTCCTTACCGGCTAACACATGGCCTCTTCTCCCCAACTTTGCAGCAGAACCTGGAGTGGGCACTGATGATTGCCATCCCCTTGGTCACCAGCCTGTACATCCTGGTCAACATCAGTTATCTGCTGGTGTTGTCACCCAAAGAGATCCTTTCCTCCGACGCTGTGGCTGTGAGCTGGGGGTGAGTGAGTCAAGTGGTGTGTTCCTTGGTCATGGGGCAGACATTCCAGGATAGTACCCCGGGTGTATTTCAGTTTGCGTCTGGGTGCACTGCCTGCTCTGTTTCCTTGCTGTGATTTTCCAGGCTGCTGCCGCAGTTCCTTCCCTTGATCCCTCTTGTCCTAGGAACCAGGTTCTGGGGGCCTGGGCCTGGCTGGTGCCTGTGGCTGTCACACTCTCGACATTTGGCTCTGCCAATGGTACATTTTTCAGTGGAAGCCGTCTATGCTACGTAGCTGCGAGAGAGGGCCACATGGTGAGAGGCGGCGGCGGGGCTGGGAAAGGTGGTGGGGGCTGCAGGAGCGGCACTCAGCTTTATCCTTCTGGAAGCTTAGCATTTAGTCCAAACTAGGACTTGACCTATGAGATACAGCCCTCTTTCCTTCTAAGAACAGGATGCAAGCATTCTATGCATCCCCTTTAAACCTCCGTCCTTTTACTTCTAGTCTTTGGGGGGTCACTGTGCTGGGTCACACTGTGGAGGTTGTAGGTGATGGGATGTTGTGCACACCAGCGGTGCAGGGCAGTGGGGAGGAGCCACAGGAGCAGAGCCAACCTGTATCCTCAGAACCCCTCATCCAGGAGACTCTAGGGCTCTCAACTTTTGCTGCAATAATGCTGAATAATAGGTATCATCAAAATCTCAGGAGCTTACAACAAACATTTCATGTTGCCCGTGAGTCACTGGGTCAGCCATCATTCTACTTCCGGCTGAGATTTGTGACCAGATCTTCTCATTGGGATGTGAGTCTGTTCTTATCTCGAGGACCCAGGCCAAAGCAGCAGCAGCTCCTGGGCATGTTTTCACCTAGAGCAAGTGGCAGGGGTTCAAGACACCAAGCCAAGCCACACATGCATATTTAGAGCCTCTGTTGTGTCATTCCTGCGCACATTTCACTGGTCAAGCCCCACATCAGTGGATGGGAAACTGTACATTATTTCTCACATGGAAGTAGAGAGAGGGAGATTGCTGAACAATAATACAGTTGACCACGGTGACCCACTATCTCTCTCCATGCTCCATCCATACCTGTCCCACCTTCTCCTCCCTCCTTCTCCATCTTCTGCACTCCTGGTCCCTCTTCCTGCCCTGGGAGTGAGCAACAGGGAGTCAAAAGACACAGCTAGGCATCTGCTTCAGCTCTCCACAGCCCAGCTGCATGTCCTAAACTAGCTGGGTCTGGGCTGGCCTGGAAGGGTGGGCCTGGGCTTGGTCACAACAGCTGAGCCACAGAGCCCTGCATCTAGAAGCCAGGGGGACTTGGGACTGTTGGGCTGGGTACACTGGTGTCCAAAACGAGTTTGGCAAGGGAAGAGGCTGGGAGCTTCATGGGGCAGATGCTCCCCTGGGGGACTGCCTGACACCTGGCTTTGCTTCCAGCCCCAGCTGCTGTCCATGGTTCACGTGCGTCGCTTCACACCGACTCCAGCCCTGATGTTCACCACGGCAGTGGCTTTGGCCCTGGTCCTCCCTGGAAACTTCAGCATCATCGTGAACTTCTTGAGGCAAGTGAGACTCCTCCACGCTGGGTATCTCTTGGCCCTGATGTGTACACATTCAGATACTTGCACACTTGTACATGTCTATATGCACATACACTTCTAGAAGCCCCTTTGTGTACCCAGTCACACACACACTTCTGGAAGTCCAGGCTCAGGGCTCCTTTACATGCACACATACTTCAGCCATTCTCTCCCTGTTATCCTTCCAAAATCAAAGGTGGCTCCCTCTTTTCTTGGCCTGTTTCCAACCATTCAAGGAGACAAATGTTTCACCAAGAGACAGACAAGTTAAAGACTTGTGTTTTCTTTGTCATTTTTATTTTTTTCTTGTTCCCTTATTCTATTGCTAAGATAATGTTAAAGATACCTTCAGGTTTTACTCACATTCATACTTGCAGCCTTTTGCTCTAGTGTGATTTTTCCTTTTAGAGAGGATCAGGCTGGGTCCCAAAGCCTTGGTGGGCCCCTGTCATCCAGGTGGTCAGGCAAGGACTGACTAAAGCAGGGACTGGGAGAGAGGAGCTGGTGGTAGGTGGAAGCAACACAAAAGCAGGCAGGAGGGACAGAGCCCAGGGGCCCTGCACCACCTCCCATAACCTCTTCATCATCCAGGACTCTGTGCCCCCTGTAGGTCCCCACTGTCATCCCTGTCATCGTGCTCCTTGCTTCTCTCTGCCTGGTGCTGGCACCCATCATCGACCATCCTCAGATAGAGTTCCTGTACATCTTCTTGTTCCTGCTCAGTGGCCTCCCAGTCTATTTCTTATTTGTCTACTTTCGGTGCCAGCCCAAGTGTTTGCAGGTAGTCACCTTGCATCTCCAGCTGCTCCTGGAAGTTGCTCCGAACATTAAAAATGATTGAAGGACTGGACAGGTCTGTACTGCCCTTTTTGCTGCAGACACCTCTAGCCCCACACAAGTGGTGTTCCCAGATTCTCTGTAGGTTGAGTGTGCATAATTCTAATTCTAAGATCCTAAAGTGCTAGAGCATAGTCATTGTGGAGTTTTGAGGTGTCCAATGAGGACAATACCCCCAGCTTCCCTAAGAACTGCTCCTTCACCACAGGCAGATCTCAGAGCCATACTGGTGTTACGGGATGCCTCTCTGGGTCAAAGCTATTTGATATTATAGGTGGGCACCATGAATACATTCTCTTCTTTTGGGATTTTGGAATTAGAATTCTGATGGTTGCTTGATCTGAGGAATTGTAAATCTTGGGATCTATGTGGGGCCATCTTCCATTATGTGGGCAGAGATGTACAGAAAGCCACTGTGGGAGAAGAATGAAGAAGCTACACAGCAAGACGGTGTTGAGCAATGATGTGTCCCCAAGAGGTGGGGGGAAGTCCTGGGAGGGCAGCAACCTGGATGCATGGCTGTTTTTCAGTTCTGGTCTCTGTCCTGTGGTCCAACCACCATCTAACTGTCCTTCCTGCTTTTTGATTGTCTGGGACAACCTGAAACCTTACAATAAATTTCCAATTTTGCCTAACGTGTATGGATTCTTATTTATTGCAACTTGGAAAGCTTTGGCTCTGATGAACCTTGTTCAGGAAGACATGATGCTTTACTTACTATTTAAAGATGCCAACTTGCTTGAACAGGGAAAGAAGCAAGAGACATATTCTTGGGAAGGAGGGGTTTTATTAGCTTTAGGCAAAAGAGAGGACAGTCAGATTTCCAGAATAAAGGATGAAAAGCTAGAGCAGACCCTAGGAGACTGATGTGATTACAAGACTAAATAGAAACAAGGGGCAGAGATATCTGCCTTCCCAGGTGAGAATGTGGGACAGGAAGGAACCACTATAGTGCCCAGAAAGCCTGGGAGAGCAGTTCCCCGGAACCCTGGGGGATGATGCAAAACGGGGAGGAGCAGAGAGCACTGCTCAGCATCTCTGCTCCTGAAGCCGGACCTAGACGCCTACATATGACTTTGCTTTATCAATGAGCCTACTGATATGGAAAGGGCTGCAACTAATGCAGGGCACTTCCCATGAGCTTCCTTCCTGTTAAGTTTTCTTTTCATATCAACCAATTCCACTTTCTTGATACCAACTGGGTGTCTGACAATTCTGACACTAACTATCTGGAGTCAGCACAGACCGACCTCACAGGTTAAGAGGCTCAGTTCCACAAGACTGTCTCAATTCAGACACCCATCGCAAATATGGAGTCACCAGGTTACCCACACTTCTGTCCAGCTTGGTTACAGCTCCCTCCCTTCAGTGTTTTCAAAACTGATCATTTTCAGTTTTGATCATTTGCTAGAATGACTCCAAGGGCTTGGGAAAACGCTTTACTTACTACTACCAGTTTAGCACAAAGGATGCAGCTCAGGAACAGTTAAATGGAGAAGATGCTGGGGGGAGGGGTGCGGAGCCTTAAGGGTCTCTTGGGGGGTGTCACCCTCCCAGCACCTTGATGTGTTCCCCAACCCGGAAGCTCTCTGAACTTTGTCCTTTATGGTGGTTCCATTACGTAGGTGGATTAAATCACTGACCATTGGTGACTGAATTCGATCTCCAGCCCCTGCTCCCTCCCCAGAGGTCCAGAATCAAGGTGGGGCCCAAAATGCCAATCTTCTAATTTGTCTTGGACTTTCTGCCAACCAGTCCCTGTCCAGAAGCTTTCTGGGGCCCCAGCCACCAGTCATCTCATTAGCAGACAAAAGACACTCTCACTCCAGAGGTTCTGGAGCTTTGTGCCAGGAACTGGGAACAAAGACCAAATATTTATTTTTGGTTATACCACCCTTCTGAACTGTGGACTCTTTATCTGCCCTGTTCCTGAGGACACAGCTGCTAGTGAAACTCTAGGAAAGCCCTCATATACCTTCTCCCCAGCAGCACAGTCCACCTTAGAATGAAGGAAATTACAGGAGGCTGCTTCTGTCCAGCTCCTTATCGAAGGAGGCCAGGAATCAGGCTGAAAGTCCCAGGAAGGGCCGTGGACACCTTGAGCAGGAATTAGTACTTTCCTCCTTGGGTGTCACCAGATTAATCCTGTGTCTCTTATGAGTCCGGCTGGTCCTCCACCCTGGTGTTTGGTTGTATGTCGTCCTCCCCTCTGGGTTGTGGGTTTGGTGAGCGTGGGGTTCTAGGCATGTTTGTATATCCCTTGGCTTCCACCACAGTCCTGGGCTCCCTGCCACTCAAGGGTACTTCGTGAATCAAAATAATGAAATATTTGTTGAATGATGAGGGAATGCATCACATTTGTCCTTTTTTATGATCCGCACTTCTGCCCTTGCTCTGCCCTGGGCTCCAGGCCCTGTCCTGAGGAGGTTCTGTAAGGGGAGGGGCATCTTCCAAGCCTTGAGTGTTCTCCAGCTGGCAGTGGATGCACACCTGGAGGTGGGAAGCAGGGAGGGGGGCCTCCCCACCGCAAGCTTGGCCCCAGGTCATGCATCCCAGTTAGGCCTTGTCTTACTTCGAGACCCACCTTCCCCTCCTTCCCACAACCAGCTGCTCTTGGCTCCCAGTCCCGTTGTGATGATACCAAGGGTCCCCCAGGTGAGGCTCTTGGGAGGCAGCTTCCTGCTCCTCGTGGTGTCCTGCCGCATGCTCCCTGAGCTCCTGGCCTGCCCCAGGCCCCTGCCTGGACCCAGGGTGGTAGTGGGGAGTGATCCCAGATGGAATCTGAGACTTCTTCAGAAATTAGGACATTAAACTTCCTTGCTCCAAATCATGATCATGGTCTCCACTGTTACTTTTCTTTTGCAATCAGAGATGACATAGTAAGCAGCATGACGCTGGCCCTTGGTCTGGAAAAAATGTTCTGAGTGTTGGGGACAAGGACCAGACTGTTCCCTCTAGGAAGCATTAAGTACCAGGACATATCTGGAGCAGGTGTCGACTGGGTTCTGGGTGTCAGGACAGTGTTCTTTCACCCAAGGTCAGCTTATCAGTGTCTAGATGTTTCTGTTGGGCAAAGCCTGGTTGCTCCAAGTCATGAACACTCATTCTTTGGATTTCCTTTTGACCATTTTACACGGTCACCTGCTGAGCAGTTAGGTGGCAGACCTGGGTCTCATAGGTTAATCCACACAAATGAATGTCATGCTTCACATTTCAATCATGGCAAAGGGTATAAAGTAAAAGTTGAATTTTCTTACTCCTCACTCCCTATTTCTAGAACAGTCGGATTCCTTGCTTACTTCCAGAAAGTTTCTATACAGAGATGTAAACCATGGTAGAGAGTCCAGTGCTGCTTTGCTCACTGGAGAAATCACATCCTGTTCAGTTCCACCTGTGGAGGGGAAGCAGTTCTCTCCTCATACCTTCATCCCCAGACCATGGTCCAAGGCCTCTACTGTTGTGGTCATTCATGCTGTTCACTATTTCTAGCCTTGCTTCTGAGCACATGGTGGGATTGTATTTCCTTGCCTCCCTTGGAGTTAGATGTGACCTAGAATTTGCTGTGCTCAATAAAGTGTGAGTAGAAATCATGCATGCTTTGTCTAGGTTGAAGGGTGAAGAGCCAATGCATATTTTCTACACTTTCCATTTCCCTCTGCTTTGGTGACTGGCAGTGTTCTGGTGGCTTCTCTGTTAGCCTTAGTCCTGGTATAAGAATGATATGTCAGAAGGTATTGCCCAGCCAACCCTATGTAGGCATGTAATATGAGCAACATTCACCTTTGTTGTTTTAAACCACTGATTACTTGGGGGAAAAAATCTGCAGCATAATCTAGTCCATCCTGACTGTTCCTCTCTCCTCTGATCAGGAGTCTTTCAAGAACCGAGGCCTGCTGACAATTGAGATGAGCCTCAATTAGAAAGTTGACAAGGAACCCACACTTGACATTAGCTCTCCTCTCTCCCACTTTCTTGATTCCTCATCTGTTTTTCTGTCCTTCACCTCCTGGCACCCTGCCTTCTTCCTGACTTTCTCAGTCACAGTCTCAAGTCTCACTGTATGTTTGGGAGAGGAAAAACTGGCTCTGCAAATATGCATAAAAGAAATTTTGTGTAGCAAGGGTTTTTGAATCTTTATTCTTGCTCAGGTGTGAGCTGAAGAAAAAAAAACTATCCAGTCCAGCCCTTGGGGTACCAGTGAGAGAGACGGAGGGAGGTAAATGCACACACACAAGCCAGCAGATTGATTATTCCTGTTAGGTAGAACCCTGATGCACACAGATAAACACTCACTAACACCATCTGTTTTAAAAGAGCAATGGGCTATAGATTTTTCTAACAATTCCTTACAATTGATGCGGGAAAGCTTTTTATGTGATCCTTGTTCTATCAGCACCGATCTCCCTTTTTAATGGACGCTTAGGGTCCTTGGCCTGTTGTTCATGGATATTTGGTTGTTTCCACTTTATTCTATTATAAGCAAAGCTAGAGGGACCACTGTCTTGGTTTATAGGAGAGAGATGATCCGGAAGAGATAGCTTTCTTCCTGACTCAGTATTGTTTGCTCCATGTTACATAATCTTCCTGAATTTGTTTGCCATTGTTTTTTCCTAGAAATTAAATATGTTTCCGATGTAGTAAGATGCATCTAAATCATAAAGTTATTGTAACATGGACTGTGAGTTTTGTTACCTACCGTTTTACCTGTAGAACACAGATGCTCTTAATTATTGCTGCTGATTTTTTTTCATTTATATAAACTCTGGATTGAAACTTTTTATAAAATGAAGAATCTTAGAACTTTCTTTAAAATATCTCTTACACTGACTTGAGAATCTATCATGTAACCAGGGTTTTGGGGAGTGAGTGTAAAGCATTTGGAAGCCATTAAAATAGCTAAATAAATTAAAGAAAAAAATAGCATTTTGCAAGCCACCTCTGAATATATCCCCTTAAGAAACATTTTTTTTCTCTGAGAATAACATGTTGATTTGTGTATCTATGCTTTTTATTTTAGAACTAAAAATGCTATACAACTTTTAAAGGTGGAAAATTATGTGATATTATATATATTTTTAAAAGATCAGCATTTTATTTCTTGATCCAAAGGCCTCTTGAAGCCCTTCAGAAAAAAGGCCAGAGACGTAACATAACATGTAAGATGGAAAACAGCAGAAATGAATTTCCGAAGGTAATAGCGAAGAGCACCTTTAGAGCTCCTTTACGGTTAGAGGAGATCAGATTGGTGTTTCCACCAACACCAGGTGAATCGGACAGAGATGAAAACTCAGAGCAACACTCAGATGGTGAGACAAGAGCCAGGTAGAAAGGAAGCCGCTTGGCAGAGCTTTGGCTCCCAGTCCCGTTGTGATGATACCAAGGGTCCCCCAGGTGAGGCTCTTGGGAGGCAGCTTCCTGCTCCTCGTGGTGTCCTGCCGCATGCTCCCTGAGCTCCTGGCCTGCCCCAGGCCCCTGCCTGGACCCAGGGTGGTAGTGGGGAGTGATCCCAGATGGAATCTGAGACTTCTTCAGAAATTAGGACATTAAACTTCCTTGCTCCAAATCATGATCATGGTCTCCACTGTTACTTTTCTTTTGCAATCAGAGATGACATAGTAAGCAGCA